GACGAGCAAGAAGAAGGAGAAGAAGAATAGACAATTATTGTATATTGTACGATTTTAAAAATATCAATTTTATCATTTTCCAATTTTTGTTTAATACCATCATTGTATGATTTTTATCATTGTTATCATTGTACAATTTTCTCAACTCAAGTAATAATAATATAAAGTACGCATTATTCACATCCAAAGTCCAATTTGTCTTTTTTCCCCGTTTTGTTACAATTTGTAAATTCATATTAAAATAAAATAAAATTATACCAATTACTAATAAATCATAAACATTAAATTTTAAAGTAATAGTATAAAGTAAATATATAAATATAAATATTGAATATACAAATTATAAAACATAAATATTCAACTTATAATTATAAAATTCATAACTTAATAACTTATAACTTATAAGTTATAAACTTATAAGTTACCTTATAAAACTTATAATTATAATTTTATAACTTATATACATTATAAACTTATTAATTTATAATGTTGTCATAAAAAATAAAAAAAAAAATAAAAAAAAATAAAAAAATTGAAAACTGCACCAGCCCGCTGCCAGCCCGCAGGCCGGCACGGCACGAGCCCGCCAGGCACGAGGGCCGTGTCGTGCCGTGGGCTGGCCTGTGAAAATGGCCGGCACGGCACGGCACGAAATCCTGGGCCCGCCGGCACGACCGGCACGACACGAACCAGCCCGTGGCCCGCCAGGCACGGCCCGCGGCGGCCCGACACGGCACGGTGCCCAGGATTACTTATCGTGCATGGCACGAGCCTTAAGCTAGTGGTACACAAATTGTGGGATTGAAGATTCATAATCAACTATATTGTGAGAGTGAGGGATAGCTCAAGTGGTTAGTGCTACCCTCCCGATTTCAAGAGATTTTGGGATCGATTCTCATCACCTGCCCTTGTGGCTCTCTAAACACCAAAAAAAAAAAAAACACCAAGAAAAAAAAAACCAACTATCTTGTCACATTTATGACACAGTGACATCTTATTCTTAGTAGACTATTAAATTTTCTTGATTCCAACTTATTTATAAATTTAAATTGATTTTTGTTGATTTAAATGTTTGTATACAAGATCTTATCTCTTTGATAGCGAATTAATCATGCTTAAGAAGTGAGTACTCCCCTAAAATAGAGTAAATACATAGTCGGGCAATACAATTTGACTCATTTTTTATGTTCAGGTTAATTACAGGATTTACTATTTCTATTTTAACAGTGAAAAACGGATTATACATGATTAAATCAAATGTAAAATAGGACGTGGTTTTTATAACGTGAAAAAATAAATTAAGTCAATAATTCGAGTATCTAAAGAATATTGTGGATTAACTTCTAGAAGGGTGAACCGGTGAAAGGTTAGATTCCAAGCTTATGCTTAACTTTTTCCTAATGGTGCTTAATTTTGTTTATGGATAAGAGTGGCAACTTACAACTTACAAGCTGGAAGTTGGAATGCCTGGTCTCTACTCTCTAACCCCCAAAACACGTGTACATCTTCTCCTCCAACGAATATCATTTCCCCTCTTCTTCTAACATACTCCAATTTCTACCTTCAGCCTTTGCTGAACTTAATTTCTAAATAAGATAAGATAATCAAGAAGCAAAAAGAAGGGTGAAGTAGAATTTAGCTACTAAATTTGTAGAAGAACATGGCTGTTTCTCAAGTTTCTGCTTCTTTTAACCTCTCTGTCTATGGTAATATCTTCTCTTTATTTTATTTTTTCTGGGTTGTTAGAAATGTTTGAAATTTCTCACAATTTCTCTGTTTCAATTCTTACTGTAGATGCTTGTAGTCCAAATTCTCCAAGACTTTGTACAATTTCAAGGATACCCACTTCAAATTTTGCTCGAAATGCTACATCATTTGTGAGGGGCTCTCCACTTGGTAATGCCTCTATGAATTTTCATAATTGTATGTTGTTCTTAATGTTTGTGGTAAGGTTTGGCTTGAAATCGATTCGAGGGTTTAATGTTTTGTGTTTTGATGTTAAGCTCATTATATTTAGTGGGTTGATAGGTGGGATTTTTTGGATGCTTTGATGTTGTTCAGGAGGTAATTCTTGATTGTTTCATGGGTTTTGACCCCAATTTTCTTGTTACAATGTGGTTGAATTGTTATGTTTGACAATTACAACAGTCGTTATCATAAACAGACTCTTAGTATCTTGTTTATGGTGGTTAGTATTACTGATTGCTGCTGTAAACTGGTTGATGAATTGGACCTTGGCGGCGAAAGATTTGGCCTTTTGAATCTATTATGTGATATTTTGCCAGATTGGCTGCTGTTGATCATCACTAGAACTCTAGAAGTATTGGAGTACAATTTCAGAATGTATGAAACTGTTTTTTTATATTTATAACACATTGTTTGGATAGGAGGAAATGAAGAGAAAGGAAGGGAAGAGAAAGATAGGGGGACAAATCACCTTGTTTGGATAATGGATTGAGGGAAGGAAGGGGAGGGAAAGGGAGGGATTCATTTTCACTACTCTTTTAATTAACACTATTCCTCCAAAATTGGAGAGATTTGAAGGGAAAATGTAGCTCCTATTTCCCCCTCCCTTTCTTTCCCCTTCCCTTCCTCCTATTTCCTTCCCCTTCCTTTCCCTTTTAAATTGTTTTCCAAACATGCCGTAAAGGCCAAAAAAAATGAGTAAGGAGTGGGAATGGGGATGGGAGAGTTACAAGTATATTAAAAGGTATCTTGGTATAATGATGATTATGATTATTTGGTTTAATGTGACAGTTATCGATTGGAAGTCTATTGTTTATTAGGGAAGAGGATAGTGAGATCAGATGGTGTGAAGTTAATTTACTTGATGAAGATATGGTGGATGTAATGCTGACATCATTCACTGAGTTGCTGTTAGTGATTAATGTATTGAGTAATTGCTTTAAAGTAGGGTCAGATATTGCTGGTAAAACATGGTTCCTGGAGTAAGCTTGTAAATAGCATCCATCTTCACAATCAAAATTTGGGGATTATGGATGCTAGTTGACCCCGTCATTTAGAAATAATTTGTACTCATGACCCGAAAATTCTTACTCCTGGTCATGGAAACTGTTATTGATTCTAGTCTCTTCTCTGGCATCCACCCCCACCCCTTGACTCCATAGGGACAACAAATCACTTACTAATTATCACTTTTGCATTAATTTGCTTCCTTATCTTTTTTTTTTTTTTTTTTTTTTTTTTTTTTTTTTTTTTTTTTGGTTGGGGGGGTGGGGGGGGGGGTAGGTTGGGGCAGTGCCATAATTCAGGATTTGGTACCTACAAAAAAGTCTAAGGTTTTGAACGTTGAAGTAACTAGTCTCTAGCTGTTAACTTATGCTGTAAATGTCTTGCCAGTGGTACAGACAAGCTCTGCTCAATTGAAGGCTGTACACAAGTCAAACTCAGCTTCTATAAAGTGTCAGCAAAGTGCAAATGAGGGTGGCTTGGATATATGGTTAGGAAGGATTGCAATGATTGGCTTTGCTGTGGCAATTACTGTTGAAGTATCAACTGGCAAGGGGCTTCTTGAGGTATGGAGTTCTGATGCATTTGCATCACTAAGAATAAGCTGATCATTATAACATATATATTCCTTTGGCATCTCATAATTTCCCTTTTCTCTATACCTTTCACTCTTTATGCATTGTCACTCTCTCATTATTTGAATGACTAACAATTGGTAGCTTTATTATTGGCTGTCATACTTTACCAGTGTCACTCTTCCTACCATAAAATTGGTGCTTTGATTCTCTTGTACACCAACCTTTGTACGTAATTCTGATGGTTGGAGGAATGTATGTGCTGTTTGCTCTAGCTTGAGAATTTTTGTTCCACTTGGCGCTATCCCTAGCTCAACAGTCTAAGAGACTGTAGATATTCCAAGAGCGTGTATATCTACTTGTAGATCTGATGAACTCAAAAACTGAAAGAAATTTCTGTTCCATAAACATCTTTTTGGAAGGGATCTAATCTGAAGTTATGGACATGAAAACTGTGTAAGAATATTTCTACAAAGGAAAACATACAAATGTTTGGGGCTGAAATGAAAACTGAAACATTTAACAGAAAAGGTATATATACATCACTGCAACCCAGGAACTCATCAGTTGCCTAGGCCCCTTCTCTAAGTAATGTAAAATAAATGACTATTCTGTGATGGTGGTAACAGGAGATTATATTATGTGGCTTATATAGTGGCAATTACCTTTATACCATTTTGCTATCATCCATGCAAACTACTTAGACAAATTTTCCCTTTCATCCATGCTAACTACTCAAAAAATATCTTCGGGAACTTCAAGTTGGCTACCTGGACGGCTGGACTTGAACCTTGACTACTATGAGTGAACCATCTGTAGTCTCTACGTTAATAATTAAAATATAACTGGATTGACTAGATTTACATAAATAAGTACAACTCGAGGATATTAGCTAATAGTTTTGATTAGAACTCTGATATTGGTGTAGTATTGACAGAGAGTTAGAGGAAATTTTGCTCTTGGTGTTGTTAAAACAAAAATGTCTTTGTTAATTTGCTCAGTCCTTACTCCTAGATGTTTTGACATGTACCTTTTAAGAAAAATTGAGATTAGTTGGAATTGTTTCCAATTAGGTGTGTAGCTCAATTTGCAAAGGTGATATACAGTTCATGTCGTTTTTTTCTGTGGAATTAAGGTTTTTTTTCTCATACTTTTCTAGCTGCTAGCAAGTTAAATTGTGTGTTTCATTTTTGTGGCCAAGTTATTTCATTTATGTAAAATGCTAATGCCAATGGCTAATTCTGATGAATTGACCTTAACTGCAGAACTTTGGGCTCACATCCCCATTGCCAACTGTGGCTCTGGCAGTAACAGGACTGGTCGGTGTTCTGACTGCTGTCTTCATATTCCAGTCTGCCTCAAAGAATTGAATGCAAGCTGCTGTCTTTGCTCCTTGTAAATTTTGTTATTCTGTCGTAGTTTTTTAAGTTTTAAGTACGGATGCTTTGTCTACAGTTCAAGCAGAAGAACTAGCCTTTTGTAAAAGTGCAATTTGAATGCAAGCATATCTTCTTCCAAGATTTTGTTGAATCTTATATGCTTTTTTTTGGGTATGATGTTCAATATAATAGTTCATTGCATGGTGAAATTTTCGTTTCGATAGCTTTACTCATGACCTTTACACTTCTGTAGAACAGTGGAGAAAAAATATATTCTGAAGCATGTGGAAAATGAATCTTCCAACTGATTGCTCCTCGAGAGAATAAAGTAAGAGTTATTATTCTTTTTATGAATTATCACTGACTACTGAGAATGGTGTACACACAGTGTGATATGTTGAAGATCAATTGCTTTGCTCCTGAATTTCCAGGTAGATCTGCTTTCGTTTCAGCTAGGAATTAAATATGATATAATCATATAGCAGCCAGCCATGATCCCTTTCTCTGTAATAAAATATTTAAATTGCTCATGTGAAGAAATTGTATTTTTTTTTTTTTCAAACTAATTATCAGTTTCAAGACAGTAGATCTTTTCAATATTTTATTTTTATTCCTTTCTTTATGAGAATCGAATTCTATTGCCTTTCTTCCAGTATATATAATTACAGATGGTGAAGATGTGATCATCGCACTTCTGAGGTTCACTTTCTTTGTTTTGGATATTTTGAACTCTCCACCTTGTCGGATCTTTTTATTGCTCCATGGGCGTAGGCACATCCCGTCTTATGAAGAGGAGGGGCTCTAAACATCAGATGAAGATACTGATGGTTGGCCTTGATGCTTCTGGGAAGACAACAATCCTTTACAAACTCAAGCTCGGACAAGTTGTACGGACACTCCCCACTATAGGTATTAACCATTCCAAAAATCTAGCTTATGCCGGCATGCATCCATGCTCAGCTCATTTTCCTTTCATGTTTTATTTTCCTCCCACTCTCTCGCTCTCTCTCTCTCCCCCCCGATCTTTGGGAGACAGATTCAGCGGCTACTTTGATTTTAATTGTGCATTTCCCTATTTGGATCAGGTTTCAATGTGGAGACAGTCGAATACAATAACCTAAGCTTTGCTGTCTGGGATCTTGGTGGACAAGAGAAGGTATCTGCATATTATTCTTGCTCTCTTCTCCTCCCTTCCCCACCCTTCTTGAAAAAGAAAAGAGATAAATAAAAAGTATAATTAACAGATCCTGCTTTAGTCTCAACATTCTTCATCGGACTACTTTTTCATACCTGTAACTTTTCTCTATATGGCCTGTACTGGACATCCTTCAATATGTTTCATCTAGTGGCAATTATTCTCCCTCGATCCCCACTATTGTGCTTCTGATGCTGTTGACCTTTTCTTACTCTCTTTTGCTGTAATTTTTCAAATGGGCAAGAAGTGCATTTTTAAATTCTTAGTATCAAACTGTTGCACAATGAGGTAACACAACTAACTTCTTGTTTGTCCCCCAGATTCGGTCATTATGGAAACATTATTTTCGGAACACCCAGGGACTCATTTTTGTAGTGGACAGCACTGACAGAGAAAGAATTGTGGAAGCTCGTAATCAGCTTCACCGGATTCTCACAGAGGTTAGAAAATAGTTACACTTAAATTTCTTGCTGTTTGACATGTCAGTCATTTCAGACTTTTGATAGTAGTCAAACTTTTCATTATCATCATATGCGCAACTCGCTGATAGAAAGTATATCTTTGTAGCAGGATGAACTGTCTAATACAGCAGTATTGGTTTTTGCCAACAAGCAAGACCTTCCAAATGCTATGTCGGTCTCAGAGGTAGCTAACAAGCTTGGGTTACATTTACTTCGTGATCGCAGATGGTAAACTTTTATTCAAGATTAATCAAATAATTGTTTCACAGATTTGAAGTTACTAAGACCAGCATAATTATTGATATCGTGTGTGCTGTAGGTTTATTCAGGATGCTTCTGCAATATCTGGTCGCGGACTTTATCAAGGTCTTAATTGGTTAAATCAAAATATCTAAGACAATCCTATGGGATAGACGCTCCCTGGCTTCCCCCAGCTTTTCGGAAGTTCTTACAAAGACTTGCACTATTGATAGCAGAATACATTGTGATCAAGGATGAAATTTTTTAATTTCATCAAATAGATTGTAGTGACTAAAATTTCTATTTTTTTCGTCGATTTTTTTTTATACTCCCGTAGTTTTTTCTGCATGATTGCATGACAGCAGAACAAATGCTAAGCCATCATGTAGGTACAATTTGCCTTTCCAGCCAAAGTGTTCATACTACTTCTAAATATTGTCTTTCTTTTATAATAAACTTTTTCAAAAGTTTCATGTTGAAGTCTAGTTTTATTTTCTTTTTCTTTATTATTATTTATTTTGGTTGCTTGAGGGAAAAGTATGCATTTCTTTTGTTGGACTTAATAGAAATTATGATTCTTTTCTTTTTCGAAGTTAGAGATGTAAAAAGGCCATGGAAGTTGACCTAGCATGTTGCATACTCCATATACTACGTATTGTAAAATGTCAAAAGAGTGAGAAAAGAGCAAAGAACATTTATAAAATCATAAGCAATTAAGCACGTGTAGGTAACATAGGTATGTACTCAGTTTATTCCATAATAATAATAAGATATGTATGTATTAGGCTAAGGGTAGTAAGTGGACTGTATGACTGTATCCACCCTTTTCTTGATACGTCATATTTTCCATGAATTACAAATGTCTAAGTGTCAATAAACAATGCTTTATAGATGAAAGTAACTTTCCATGACTTTAAAAAAAAAAAAAAAAAATTATACTCCGTACTTCATATACATATACATTTTTCCATGAGAAGCTAATTCTTACACGGATCAAACAAATATTTAGTTTAATTAATTATAACATTGTTTTATATTCTAGCTTATTTTAAGTCTATACAATAAAAATATTTTAATACTTAAATGTCAAAAAATGATTTGAGTTCAATTCGACCCAACTTGTTTAAGCTTGGACTTAATTCAGACTCAAGAATAGTCAGAGATCTGATACGTATTCATACCACAACTCGTTGACAACTGATGTCACGGAAAAGTCACGTTTCCAAATCTTGGATCTCCCATTTCATATTTCTGATACAAAAACAATAAAATAAGCTCAAGTCACTCACTCCCACCACACTTAAAAATAGGAGAGAGAAAGAAGCGTCGGTGGGTAAGAGCTCACACACTAAAACCCCACACTATAATTCCGTACTTAATTTCGGCATTCTATCACTTTCCTTTTTTTTATTTTTATTTTTATTTTTATTTCTTCCCCAATTTTATCTCTTACGTTACTCCCTTTTCTTACAAATCAAATCTAAAACCCTCATTTCTCAATCTTCATCTCTCAATTTCGATCTAATTTCTCTTCTTCAATTCCATTTTTTTCTGTGATTTGGAGAGAGAGATTGATAAAATTTGCTAGATTTCGAAGAAAATGGTGAAATCAATGGCCACTTTAATGGTGGCCGTTTTTGCAGTGGTGTTGATTTCTGGTGTTAGTCATGTGAGATCCGATGCTTCCGATCATCGGTACAAAGCTGGTGAAGCTGTTCCTCTTTACGCTAATAAAGTCGGCCCTTTCCATAACCCTAGGTTTCGCATTTTCCCTCTTTCTTTTCTTTGATCGCCCATTTTTACTGAGTTTTATGCGAAATTTGATTTGATTATAGATCTCACATTTTAAAAAAATGTTGATAATGTGTTGTGTTTGCTAGAGATTTATGCATTCTTGAGTTTTGATTGAAATGTGGAGTAAATAATGAGTTATTTGTTGATTTTTGTGCTATATTGGTGTGTTTGGGTGATTTTTGATCTTTGATTGACTGGAAACTGTAATGTAGAGAAGTTGAGATCTTGAATATGGTAATGTTTCAACTAAAGGTTCTCTTTTGTCGTGATTGTTGCCCTTATTTCTGAAAAAATAAAAGTTGTGATTTCTATTTTGGTATAGCAGGTCTTTATATTGCTAAAATTGGAATGCTGATGCTACTAGGAACCTAGAAGTAATAGGCATTGAAGTGTTGTTACATGCTTGTTAATTAAGAGAGTAGCTGGCTAGTGGGGGATGTAGATTTCTGGGGTTATTCTGCGGACGTCGAGAATCTTAACAATCTGGAAATTGTTGCTGATTTGAGCTCTGCATTTAAGATTATAGCTACAGAGGTTCATATTTGGGTTCTATTTTTAGAGTTAAGCTAGTGAAAGTTGCATGCATGCTAACCATGTGCTCTTGCCCCTAGTAATTTATTGACATGCATCCAAGTGTGGATGAACATCAAACGGCCATCACTAAACTGATATTTGCAACTTCACCATTAAGTTCCATAAAGTAGCTAAGTTTGTGATTGTCATGTAACTTTTCATATGAAAATCCTTGAATGTAAATGTTTAGAATTGATTATGTTCATTACCTTGCTGACAGTGTCTAATAGTTATGGGTTTTTCTTTTCAGTGAAACATACCGCTATTTCGATCTTCCGTTCTGTGTTCCAGGTACAAATTAGTTGAATTGGTTTTACTACTTTGCACGTGTAATTCTTCTTTTGGAAAAAAGTAACAATTATTTTTAATTGCAGATCATGTGAAAGAAAAGAAGGAAGCTCTGGGTGAAGTATTGAATGGAGATCGTCTGGTCAGTGCTCCTTATAAGCTTGACTTTCTAGTGGACAAAGATTCAGAACTTATTTGCAAGAAAATACTGACAAAGGAAGAAGTAACTAAGTTTAGAGATGCAGTATCAAAAGATTATTACTTTCAAATGTATTATGATGATTTGCCAATATGGGGGTTCCTTGGTAAAGTTGACAAGGAAGGCAAACTAGACCCAAGCGAGTACAAGTATTATTTGTATAAGCATATTCATTTTGACATCTTTTACAACAAGGACCGTGTTATTGAAATCAATGTTCGAACTGATCCCAACTCTTTAGTTGACATTACTGAGGATAAAGATGTCGATGTGGAATTTATGTACACCGTAAAGTGGAAGGAGATAAACACCCCTTTTGAGAAGAGGATGGATAAATATTCACAATCTTCTTCTCTTCCTCATCATCTAGAGATCCACTGGTTTTCCATTATTAACTCATGTGTCACTGTACTACTCCTGACTGGATTTCTTGCCACAATTCTTATGCGAGTTCTTAAGAACGATTTTGTCAAGTAAGAATCGAAAAGCTTTCCTCCCTTTCCCTTTTTTCAGTCATATATACTGTATCTATTAACTGCGCTGGAGTTCCTGGTTGATTAGTGGAGAGTTGGTCTGGATATATGTTTATATCTGGGCATGCTATTAAGTGATCATGTAACTTTTTAAAATTCATGCTTCATTGTTTTTGACTAAAGGTATGCACATGATGAGGAAACAGCAGAAGATCAGGAAGAAACTGGATGGAAGTATATCCATGGGGATGTATTTAGGTTTCCAAAGTACCAATCGTTACTTGCAGCTTCTCTTGGATCTGGCACCCAGCTGTTTACCCTGTAAGTTTCCAATGTTGTTGCTCTTCCACATATGTGCATCAACATGTTTTCTAATGCCATCCTGTGTATGTACTTCATCCTACGTGATCTAACATTTACATCACTTTTTTTTTCAGTACGTTTTTTATATTTCTACTTGCTTTAGTTGGAGTGTTTTACCCATATAACCGAGGAGCCCTGTTCACAGCCCTTGTTGTCATTTACGCTCTCACATCTGGAATTGCTGGCTACACTGCAACCTCCTTTTATTTTCAATTGGAAGGAACAAACTGGGTATGATCTGCTTTCTTTTCTTTGGAAAGAGCAAATTAAATAGATAAAAGATACCAGATAGAATTTGAAAGAAACAACTCGTGTGTGATCTTTTTGTAATATTTCCTTCTTGCAGGTAAGGAACCTGTTGTTGACGGGTTGCCTGTTTTGTGGGCCTCTGTTTCTGACCTTCTGTTTCCTAAACACGGTAGCAATTGCATATCATGCTACTGCCGCTCTTCCTTTTGGGACCATTGTGGTGATTCTTCTTATCTGGACACTTGTAACATCACCATTGCTTGTTTTGGGTGGAATTGCTGGAAAGAATAGCAAAGCCGAGTTCCAAGCTCCTTGCCGTACTACAAAGTACCCCAGAGAAATTCCACCACTACCATGGTACCGGGGAACTCTTCCTCAGATGGCAATGGCTGGATTTTTGCCTTTCAGTGCAATTTACATAGAGCTCTACTACATATTTGCCAGTGTCTGGGGTCACCGGATTTACACTATATACAGCATCTTGTTCATCGTCTTCATTATATTGATTATAGTCACCGCTTTCATCACTGTGGCATTGACATACTTCCAACTCGCAGCTGAAGATCATGAGTGGTGGTGGAGGTATGCACTATTTATATAATTTATGGCTTTATATATGCTTGAATTAAGTTTCCATGCCTTTTCCCGTCAGTGGCATTGATATACTTCCAACAATACTGTCATGCTAGATAGCTTTGATTTTGGTGGTTGTTTTATTTCATCTCATTCATTTAATGGTAGAGAAGTTGTCTTTTTTTTTTTTTTTTTTCCCTCTGATTGCTTGTGCTGTCTTTTTCCACTTTGTGAGATCCTTGTGATGTTATTAACTTTTATTTTGTAAAATATTTATTTCGATGATGTGAAAATGGGTTGTGGACTGTAACAGACTATGATGTTGATGCTTTTTGACTTGCATACTTTAAAACTGGAGAACTTTTCCAGCTAGTTGAGTTTGTATCATAATGTTCATTACCCACTTGTTAATCACATGTTCAGGCCATGTATTCTATGTGGACTTCTTTGAGGATGTACAGAAGTGTGAGGAGTACACAATAATCATGTTATCATTGCTTATTTGTTTTGGCAAGGGGCCTACGGGGGGTGAAGGGGATGAGTTTGCACCATTGTGCATAGTAACTGCCCTTTTGGGTGTGGAAGGTGGATTAGGAAACTTTGCTGGAGATTCAGTGTTCATGCATGCTAAACTTTCCTGCGGGTTATAGTCCATTACCCATTTTGGCTGGCCAGTATGTAGATGTGATTTCTACCCTAAAGTCATGACTGTAAAAGAATGGTCAATATCTGACATTAGCATGCCAAAACATGATCTTGTAGGACTTTTACATCCTTTGTGGAATACTCATCTACTTAAATGTCTTGTGTACTATTACTTCTCATTTATGTCTAATGTCTTGGATGTCATGTCTCCACTTTGTGGATCCCCTGTAGTCCTGTACTGTAAACTGTTGGGAGGGGAAAGATCGCACTAAATCCCCCTCTACTCTGATGTGGTCATGATTCTAACCTCTTTTGGTTCTTTTTATGGCAGAGCCTTCCTGTGTGGTGGCTCCACTGGTCTATTTATCTATGGCTATTGCTTATATTACTTCTATGCGCGCTCTGATATGACTGGTTTCATGCAAACATCATTTTTCTTCGGCTATATGGCTTGCATTTGCTACGGCTTCTTCCTCATGCTTGGAACTGTTGGTTTCCGTGCCTCACTTCTGTTCGTCCGCCATATTTACCGGTCTATCAAATGTGAATAGCTAAGCAATGGAACTTTAGGTTTGTGCCGGTGTCGTCTTTGTTCTGTACACCATCACCAGTAATGATCCATCTGGTGTTGTAACCGACTTCTAATCTCATCAGGGAGAAGTATTCTTTTAAACTTGATCTGCATCTTTGCTGTTGCAGTTTTAGCTACACACGAGATCTTGCCCCCAAATCCTCTTCCTTATAAAATTGGCTGGATGAAGAAAATAGTTTCAGTTCTGGAGAATTATGTCATGTAATAGAATACTAGAGTTGTATCAATTGTTAAGAGATTTTTGACATTAATTTTCAGTTATATCTTATGAAATTTCAAATTTGTTTATATCCCTTTTTTCCTTCATCTTTCTCCTTGTTAGTATGAAATTTTCATCCTTTAAGCTCTCTATCTCTCTGGCAGGACATTGTCTCCAGATTTCAAGTGCAAAAGTGTATACAACCTAATTTTGTTCATTTCAGCTTATTTCAATTTAGAGTTTTGAGTTACATACAAAATGTGCAACACCATGGCGTATTTGAAAGTAAACATACAGCAGAGATTCGAGTTTTGAACTTTATACATATACACTTCAATGTGATCGATAATTTACATGGATGCGACCTTCTCACAGCCCCTTACTCCTCTCATCTAAACGCCCGTAGTAAAAAATCAGCAGCAGCATCTTCTCAGTGATTGTAAGTTGTCCCATCTAACATCAACATTGCCAAGACGGCAAGACTAGAGCATTACCACTTCTTCCAATATGTGAATATGGTGGTGGTTGCTCCTGTCACTTATTATGAATAATGGCCTTGAAGGAGTTACCAGACTTACCACCCTTGAAAAGTAAAGGTTAGTCTCTAAGCCGCTAACTATTTCATTAGTGCTTTAAACAATACAACTTTAAGCTAGCACAATTCATAATTTGTAAATGAAATTGGTCTACTTTTGGGATTTATGATTTAGTTTTGGCATAATGTGACAAGAATATGTTATAAACTTGTTATCAAAATTAGGCCAACCCACCACTTTGGTTGAAATATTGCTCATTCACATAGTTGGATAGTCTTTGTCATCCCCCTAATAAAATTTGGATGTTTAAACTTCCAATAAATGCATTTAATGGATTGTCAAAAGGACAAACACCAAAGTGACGGTGAAGAAGACTAACTCTAATATGCAAGGGAGCCGAATTGTACAAGAAAATAAATTAAGCGAATGTCACAATTGTTACTATATCCTTGAGCTTGTGCCCAATAGTCCAATATATTGATTTCGTAGCTTTCAAGCGTAATATAATAGTCTTGAATGTTAATATGCATTTATTTTGCTAAATGACTGAGTCTTGTCATCTTTAGGTACACTCGGGTGTATAATAGACATATTCTGTATTCATGTAAAGTGAACATACACAACCACTATTAATTTACCGTTAACAATTGATACATACCTAGTTGATACATTGTTTATTTTATCCATCTACTAGTAATCCCAATATATGTCGCATTTCTAATATACTCCCTTTAATTTATTTTTACCAAATTGTATAAACTCTTTGAAGTAACGTGAGCACTTAAGCCACAACTTTACATTAATTATCGTTATATTTGTAATAATCTCAACTTTATACATTACCACCAATATCATTGCATTATCAGTTTATCACCCCTAGGGCAAAACTTTATACACAAATTGAATAAAGATATTTCAATCATGATTTCATGAGTTACTTACAACTTTCTATCTTTGGATATTTCCTCAAACAGTAAAAATAAAAAAAATATTTACATGGACCCACAAAACTAAAAAAAACCCAACCTTCCATAAAAATTACCAATAAAACGGTGGCCCATAACAACCCAAATTCAGATCAATCTTTCCTTCTTTCTTTGTTCCCCTTCTTCTACATTTCTGCGATTTGACTCCAGAATTCAAGAGAGAAAACAGAAAGAGGAGAGAGAAACTGAGGTTTTGCGCAACAATGGAGAAATCCAAGGCCACTTTAATGGTGGCCATTGTTATTCTGCTCTTTTCTGGTGTTATTCAAGTGAGATCCGATGGTTCTAATCATCGTTACAAAGCTGGAGAACAAGTTCCTCTTTACGCCAACAAAGTCGGCCCTTTCCACAACCCTAGGTCACTCTCTTTCCTAATTCGTCATTTTTTTCCTAATTTTTGCTAATTATGTTGTTAATTTGTGAACTAATTGTATTTTTAGAGCTTAGGAAATGATTTGACGTTGTTTTGATCTATGTGAGAATTGATTGTGTTTTCTAATTATATAGTTCAGATTAATGAATTTCGTTTTATCGAATTAGAATGATTGATCTTTGCGTTGATAGTATTTTGAATTTTAGCTTAGTGATGTGAAATTTGGGGTTAATTTGATCTATGTGAGAATTTGATGATATTTTACAGCGTAATTAGTTTGGATTAGTGGTTGGATCATGCTTGATTGACCTGTTTGTGATCAGATGTGTTAAGCTCACAGAATAATGGTGAAATGTTCAAGATTCATGTTTGAATTGATATTGGAAGGAATTTTACTTTCCTTTTTAGGGTTTGTTTTATTTGGTTACTATTAAATGCAGATATTATGCACGATATTGAAATTCGATTTAATTTGATATTGGTCAATACAATGCACCATAAAAGGTAATGATATTTTTACTTTTGAGCATGTGCAATCAGGCTATTAAATACTCTTCACCTAAGATATTTGCTCAATTATTAGGGATTTGGGTTTATATCTTGAATCTAACTTACACTTGAGTGACTGAATACAGATGTGAGTATGTGACAAAAATACGAAATGTCACTTTAGGCTGCGATGTTTTAGGATGACTTTTTGCAATATGCTGTCTTAAGTACAAAGTATGTAGCCAAGTGTGCATTATACTGGTTGTGAAGTTGCCTCTGAAATTGGAGATTTTGGGGGTATTGTTAAGTTTTTGGTTTGTAATGTTTATACTTTCTGAGTAGATTTGGGTAAAATGTAGGCTTGTGAGTTGTGAATGCTGAAAAGTTCATCTTCTGGGATTGAGTGTCTAGTCCTAGGAATCTGGAAGTAAGAACTTGCTCATCCCATGTTTGTAGCTTTGTCTTCTGCTTTTGTATGACGTAAATATTCTTCATGGAAGGTCATAAATATGTAGGTTTTGAATATAGGCCTCCTTTCTTTAGAATGTTACTGAGCAACAACACATCCAAAGGTTAACAAGTAAATAATTACTGACAAGCAGGACTAGATTATATTCATCACTTGTGACAAAGGCTTGAGCTGGGTGAATTTATGCCACCAACCTTAACATTACAGGATTTTTTATATTATATTGTAAATGTTCTTTTTGGGTGATTGAGTTGGTTTAATTTTGGATGCTTATGCTTGTTTGAATTTGATGATCCTTATTGGCTTAGATATTGCTGTCTGATTTTTATGTCCTTTTCTTTCAGTGAAACATATCGATATTTTGATCTTCCATTCTGTGTTCCAGGTAAATAACTATTTTAGTCATTTGGGCATGTTTCACCTGTGTATTGCTGTATTCTAGATCTATTTTCTCTGAATTGCAGAACATGTCAAGGAGAAGAAAGAAGCTCTTGGTGAAGTATTAAATGGAGATCGTCTAGTCAGTGCTCCCTACAAGCTTGATTTCCTTGTGGACAAGGACTCAGAAGGCATCTGCAAGAAAAAGTTGTCAAAGGAAGACATTGTTCAATTCAGAGATGCAGTAGCCAAAGATTACTACTTTCAAATGTACTATGATGACTTGCCAATCTGGGGGTTCCTTGGCAAAGTTGACAAGGAGGGTAAACTGGATCCAAGCGAGTACAAGTATTATTTATATAAGCATATCCATTTTGACATCTTCTACAACAAGGACCGTGTTATTGAAATCAATGTCCGAACTGATCCCAACTCTTTGGTGGACATCACTGATGATAAGGAAGTGGATGTAGAATTTATGTATTCTGTGAAGTGGAAAGAGATAAACACCCCATTTGAGAAGAGAATGGATAAATACTCACATTCTTCCTCTCTTCCTCATCATTTAGAGATCCATTGGTTCTCTATCATAAACTCATGTGTCACAGTGCTTCTCCTGACTGGATTTCTTGCCACAATTCTCATGCGAGTGCTGAAGAATGATTTTGTTAAGTAAGAATCGCTGAGTTAATCTACTCATTATGTTTTTTGTATTTATGGATACCATGCAGCTTCTCCAACTTTGATGAGTGAATGGTTATTTTAAGTGATAACCAAGTAGTTTTTACCAAGGCATGTGGTCAATTTGTATCATTTATTGTAATTCTAATGTATCATTTTCTCCACTAAAAAGGTATGCACACGATGAAGAAACAGCTGAAGACCAGGAAGAAACTGGTTGGAAATATATTCATGGGGATGTGTTCAGGTTTCCCAAGTACAAATCAGTGCTGGCAGCTGCTCTTGGATCGGGTACTCAGCTATTTACTCTGTAAGTACTTTAGAGTTCTTTTGTCTTGATTTACTTCATCATTTAAGGATGGGGGAGCCTATGGTGTAATATCTTATCTGACCTATATCTTTTGTGCTCTCAGGACGGTATTCATATTCTTGCTTGCACTAGTTGGAGTGTTTTATCCTTACAACCGAGGAGCACTGTTCACAGCCCTGGTTGTCATCTATGCTCTTACATCTGGCATTGCTGGTTATACTGCAACATCCTTTTATTGCCAGCTAGAAGGATCAAACTGGGTATGTGCTACCGCATATGGCATGCTAAATCTTAGTTTCTCTGCTTCTGCCTTCCATCTGATTCACCCCCTTTCCATCCACTGATTAAATGGTATGAGAAAGCTTACTGATTTCTTCCCCCATTTGTTTTGACAGGTTAGGAATCTGTTGCTGACTGGTTTCTTGTTCTGCGGTCCTCTGTTTCTCACTTTTTGCTTCCTCAACACTGTTGCGATAGCATACCATGCTACTGCTGCTCTTCCATTTGGCACAATAATGGTTATACTTCTTATCTGGACTCTTGTAACTTCACCATTGCTTGTATTGGGTGGGATCGCTGGAAAGAATAGCAAGGCTGAGTTCCAAGCTCCATGTCGCACAACAAAGTACCCCAGAGAAATTCCACCACTGCCGTGGTACCGAGGGACTCTTCCTCAGATGGCAATGGCTGGGTTTTTACCATTCAGCGCGATATACATAGAGCTCTACTACATCTTTGCCAGTGTTTGGGGACACAGGATTTACACAATTTATAGCATTTTGTTCATTGTCTTCATTATTTTGATTATAGTCACTGCTTTCATTACTGTTGCTTTGACATACTTCCAACTTGCTGCTGAAGACCATGAGTGGTGGTGGAGGTATGTATTCTGCGCTTATGTCTGATTATTTCATGAATGGTGTATTCATAATGTATAATTTATTTCTATTTTGCCTTGCTAGTTACTTTGAAAGTCGTCGTTTTCATTTAACTCTAGGAATAACTTGGATGCATCGATATGCATTACATGCTACCTACTTTATCTTAGATTCACGATCACTTTCATTGGAACCTTGTTTTATGTCTGTTTTGTATGTCTGCATTGTTGCTTTTCTGACTTTCCCCCATGTTATCCTGGATAAGTTTATGTAGTATATAAGTCTGATATTACTGAAGCTGATGCAATCATATTAGTATGATATTAAGTTAACTGATTTGGTACTTGTTATGGCAGGTCCTTCCTATGCGGTGGTTCTACAGGGCTATTTATTTATGGATATTGCCTTTACTACTACTATGCACGCTCTGATATGACTGGGTTCATGCAGACATCATTTTTCTTTGGCTACATGGCTTGCATATGCTATGGCTTCTTCCTTATGCTTGGAATGGTTGGCTTCCGTGCTGCACTCTTTTTCGTCCGTCATATATATCGGTCAATCAAATGCGAGTAGATAGGTGGTGCGACTTCAATGTTGGACCAATGTTTTTTTGTTCTGTAGGCTTAGTAGGACAACGATGTTCTTTGTATTGTAACCTATGCCTGACCTCATTCAGGAGAAAGAGTTTGTAATCTTATATAGAATTGTCTTTCGATTTTTATATGCGCGATCTTGCTTATATGTTAATCCCCTCACAGAATTCACATAGTAATGTAGTATTGCCTTAATATGAAGATATATGGTCATTTATGATTTATTTGTACTTCTGTCAAAAATTAAACTAAAAATACACAATGAAGATTTGGACATCTGTATGATTTTATCTGTACTTCTGTCATGGATGGACTCGAGGTAAAAAATAAGAATGCACCAGCCGGGAATCGAACCCGGGTCTGTACCGTGGCAGGGTACTATTCTACCACTAGACCACTGGTGCGATTTTGTTAATATGAATTCGCTTTTATGATAAATCAAAATTAAACAAACATTTTAGAAACTACTTTCTACAATTTTAAAGAAACTTTCTATAATTTTAAATAGGAAAATGATATAAGAAGCTAAAAGAGGAAATATTGAGGATAATTTAAAATTAATTACACTGATTTATGTGTTAAATTATCATGAATTCCCAGCTTAATTCCATTTTAAGAATGCTTGTATATAACCCTAAGATCTACATATATCATTACCCTTTAAAAAATAACATCCACAATTTTTATTTTAGTCTGCATCAAGTTCTTAATTTTGCTTACTTGAATAGTGGCTTATGAGGAAAAAAAAAAAAAATCATTCATAAAATGTCATGCAGCCTTTCTTTACATTCCTAAGATTCACCCCTATTTCATTTTAACGGCGTATACAAGTATACATTCATGATAGAGCCAAGAGAAAACTCATGAAATCAATTGAGATGTCTCTACCTACAAAAAATTTCAGTCATACAATAAGGTCAATAACCGCATTACATATTTGATAAGACATTGCCATATCTACTCACCTAAAGCTATAAAAGATTTTTGGTGTGGTTGAGTTTGCAATGATTCTTTCATTAAAGAACTACATGACCTATTGACATTTCTCAAATTTTCATATAAGACAAAATAATCAACCCAACAAGCAGGCTAAATTCTTTTTCCATCGGATGATGATAGCCCCACAACATCTAGTATCAGCGAAGCTTGACCTCTTGAACCTGTCTTCAGAGGATCGATAGAAAAGCTGTTGCTGACATACCCAAATTGCCGTTCACATTTCCATGGACTGTGGTTTTGAAGAAGATTTTGTTTTCTTCCTTTTCTTCTTTGCATCGTCTTTGGACTTCTTCTTTACAGGCTCAGCTTTAGGAGCTGGTTGGGTATTCACTAGGTACCGATGTATGGCAGCAAATGGATCGGATTGGAAAGCAGGATGATTTAAGATAGCCTCCATTCGTTTTGTCTCTTTAATTCTGCCATGAGTGCCATCATTAGATATATCAGAAAATCAAGTTAAACAAGTGTAATTTAACAGAGGAATAGCCACTCACACTAGTTTCTGTCTGGATTTGCAGTTCAATTTTTTAGGTGGAGGAGCAGGTTGCTGTGATTCTTTCACCTCAGGCAAGACTTCATTGAGGAGGGATAGGTCATAAGCTTTTAATTTCTTTTGCCGTTTTCTTGCACTCTTGCTTTTCTGACAGCGAAATAAACAGAACACAAGTGACCAAATGCAGCAGCAATATAGAGTTTTAAAAAAAATTAAAGAAATTATCCATATACAAAAATGCTATTGCGGTCGATTACAGGCTATCACCAGTTCATCTGACTTGGATCTCCCTCCTCATTCTAGGTGCTGCACTATCACCAATTCACCAGTCACATTATCACCCAAAACTCTCCAAACTTCCTCAAACCTTTCAAGTAGTAAAAGTTTATTTATATCCACTGGAATTTCTTGCATTCGATTAAAGGCTACACAATTGCACCACCTCCATATCCAGTAAACAGTAAACAGTAACAGGAAAGTAGGTAGGCCATATTTTTGGATCAAGATCATTGTGATTTTGTACCTTTATATTGCGGACTATCCACTACTTTAGGTTGCCTGCTCTGAAATTGTTTCATAAATGATCATGTGGAGAGAACACAAGGGGAGAATATTAGAGATATACACTTAGGCGTATGTAGGATGGATCTCAAAAGGAAGGATGTTTATAGCTATTCTATGATAAGAGATATAATAACCTCGCCCCCTCCCCACGGCCACGTACTGTTGTTGCCTTCCCTTATCAGGATGAGGTGCTCCCACATTCTCCCTCTTTTTAGTTTTTCTTTATTTTCACATTGCTCCTAATACTACATTTGGTTATGGTTGTGGCAGTGGAAGTGTTGAGACTTCAGACTCTTGCATTTGGTGGTGGTATGACATTTGACAGTCAAGTTTTTAATGTGTTTGCCCCTTGTATTCTTTCCTTAACCACCCAACCTAACAACGACCACTACCCTAGGCAACCACGCCAACGCATCGCCCTCGTTCTTAAGGTGGCTGTTTATGGCACAGTCATGCCAATTTATAATTGACTTTTGCTAGTTCTCTTATATAGAGCTACCAGTGCAAAGTGATCATTGTATATCTCAATTCTCAACAACCAAAGTGCCTCCAACAATACACTTAATATACATATACCATTAAACATAACAAAGGTAATAAACAAATTAGGAGTTCTTTCATAACCTAAAGTTTTAATTTTTTTTTTTTTACCATAAATTTATTAAGCTTGAGAAAGACAACAAAGAAGAAACTTGATTCGAAACTTTACCTTTGCAATCGCCTTCGTAGCACTTAATGAAGCAACAGTCTCTCTGACTTCTGCACTCGTTTTAAACAAAACCCAGAAACATAAACAACCAATTCAACCATTAAACGTCAAAACCCAGAAAATTAATAATATTTCAGTAATTGAAAAGGAATTATTACTCGAATAAAACTCAAGTTTCTTCTCAAATTTGCGATCTGCTTTCTTCGTAGCATCCGACCTAAACATCAATTTTGCAGAAATTTTAAGCCCCAAATTCATACAAAATTAACAATTTCAATTATTTTTTGAGGTAGGAAGTACCTGATGTTTTTCAATCCCATATTGAATGATTTCCGATTGAACCGAAAAATACACAGTGATGATTTCTCTGATAATTCGCCGACTACGAAGGAGAGAGGTTTTTTTTTTTTTTTTTTCTTTGAGGAAAGAGAAAAACGTTTATGGGCTAATTTTTTTTTTTTTTAAGGGGTTTACGATCCAGCCCTAAAATTATAGGGTCTGACCCGACCCAGTACATCTTAAGGCGGACCTTTAAGGGTTTACAACTTAAAGACTTTTACACATTTTACATTTGAGATCCGATCCAAACATTTATCGTTTTGCATTTCACAAATTCTTATATGTGGCTGACAATCATCATGGGGATTACTTCATTATTATTATAGTTACTTGGTCATTGTTATAAAGGTTACTTGTCATTGTAATAAGGGTTAATCGATTAATGATTTAAGCCTTTAGGGGTTGGTCAGTATTACAAGGGTTACTCGATCAGTGTTGTAAGTGTTACTATGTTACTCCCTCCATTCTAGTAATATTGCAACAACTGAATTTTTTTACTATTCATCACGTTTGTTTGACCACATATTATGATTTATACATAAAGTAAAATATAGTCATGTGGAATCTTGTTAGATTCGTCTTGTAAAATATTTTCACAATATCAACTTTTTATAATTTTGACTCTTATAAAATTATAGATATTTAACATATAACATGTGCTTTGAGATGTGTAAATTCATCCCTGTTGCAATATTTATGGAACAGAGGAAGTATTTTACAAGTGGCCACATGATTTGGCCAGCTGCACACAAAACGCGTTGTTTGTCAAAGCTTATGTTATATACTTATATTATCTAATCAACTAACATGAATTATTTGTTAATGTATCAAAATCATACAGTATTTTGTAAGTGCGTGCATTTGAACTTATGTAGGTGTTTGAACCTAACTAATTAAACTTATTTTATCCCGAATAAGTCTAATTAATTAAGTTGAACTTATCTTTAATAATGAGCAATATTTTTCAAGTATATGATTTGCAATGTTGCTAGAAATTACATTAATTATTTGAACTTTGTATAGCTGTAAAGATTAGTAGATTACTTGATTAATAGTCCCTTACTTAAAGTGGCTTCAATTAACTCCACAATGCCTCCAAAAGGAAAATAACTCCGATGTCTAAGGATTAAGCATTCCTCCATATTCAAGAATTTAGTCTTAATTTCTTTCTTAACCCTGTAATCACACTATTCCAATTGGTTTATGTTCTAGACTTAAATGATAATCAACTTCATCGATAATTAAGCATCACAATATTAGAAGCTCCAATCCAATCGCGCTACCTACTTGCTTAATTGTAATGTAATTAGCATTGCACACCTCTAATTAAATTTCTTCAAACTAATTGATTAAGGTGATCCCGAGTTGTATATATACAAGTATTAAAACAAAGAAGCATTGCAGACTTAACAATCAAAGGTCCTTAATTATTTGTATTTTCTGCAACTTTAATTTCATACTAGTATATATCATGTATGTTCATTAGCCATTTATCTATTTTGGACCGCCATGTGAGATGACTTTGAAGGTATGTATATACATTTAATTTGTGTTTGATTAACGCCTTGACCCAACATCTTAGGGAATTAATACGAAGTATTAATAATAAATTAAATTGATCAACTTGGATTGTCTACACCTCTACATAATAAGCTGTTTTGCATTGATGCTAGAAATCCATCAGTTGATCGATAACTAATCAAACTCTACTTAAGAATTCTATGAAATGGCTCTGCACAAGATGTATTATCTAGGGTGTTTTCTTTTGTCATTGACAGTCATGCTAGATGCCGCGATTCCTCCAGGGAACTCAAACCATCTCATGAGAGCATCATGTAAGATCAAAAGGTACAAGATGTGCTATAACATAGAGCATGTTTGTCCCGAGTTTTGTCCTAATGGTTGTACAATTGATTGCGGTTCATGCAAGCCAATTTGTAGTCCGGTATCATTACCATCATCTCCTGAATATGGTTCGCCTCCAATTGAAGATTATAAAGGCGGTAAGATTGCAAGTTGTTATTTTCAACCACCTTCAGCTCCTTCAACTTCAGTTCCAAGATATCCACCACCACCTGTCTATCCTCCTAAATTACCTAATACAACAACACCATATCCTTCAACTTCAAACGTCGATCCACCAGCTCCAACCCCAACATCTCCCGATACACTACCATTATTTCCTCCTATTCAAATCGACGATCCAACCATTATTCCAACCCCACCATTACCAATCTATCCTCCTGATACACCTAGACCTTCATCTCCTCCTGTTCTTATTGTCGATCCAACCCCGCCATCTACACCATCATCGGTCTATTATCCTCCTGATACGCCGCCTAAAGCACCATCTCCTCCTGTTCTTATTGTCGATCCAACCCCGCCATCTGCACCATCACCGGTCTATTATCCTCCTGATACACCGCCTAGAACACCATCTCCTCCTGTTCTTATTGTCGATCCAACCCGGCCATCTGCACCATCATCGGACTATTATCCTCCTAATACGCCGCCTAAAACATCATCTCCTCCTATTTTTATTGTCGATCCAACCCCGCCATTTGCACCATCACCAGTCTACTATCCTCCTGATAAGCCGCCTAAAACACCATCACCTCCTGTTTTAATTGTCGATCCAACCCCCCCATCTGCACCATCACCGGTCTATTATCCTCCTGATACGCCGCCTAAAACACCATCACCTCCTGTTTTAATTGTCGATCCAACCCCGCCATCTGCACCTTCACCGGTCTATTATCCTCCTGACACGCCACCTAAAACACCATCACCTCCTGTTTTAATTGTCGATCCAACCCCGCCATCTGCACCATCACCGGTCTATTATCCTCCTGACACGCCACCTAAAACACCATCACCTCCTGTTTTAATTGTCGATCCAACCCCGCCATCTGCACCATCACCGGTCTATTATCCTCCTGACACACCACCTAAAACACCATCACCTCCTGTTTTAATTGTCGATCCAACCCCGCCATCTGCACCATCACCGGTCTATTATCCTCCTGACACGCCACCTAAAACACCATCACCTCCTGTTTTAATTGTCGATCCAACCCCGCCATCTGCACCTTCACCGGTCTATTATCCTCCTGACACGCCACCTAAAACACCATCTCCTCCTGTTCTTATTGTCGATCCAACCCCGCCATCTGCACCATCACCGGTTTATTATCCTCCTGATACGCCGCCTAAAACACCATCTCCTCCTACTCCAAACCCATCATCCCCACCACGTCCCTAAAAGACAACCAGTGATAAAGATTAATAACTCATAACTAGCATTGTATTTTTCGACTTGATTTAAGATTTAAATAATTGTGCTTTGAAATGCATAATTCCTCCTCTATGTTGCAATATTAAAGAAATGGGTGAAACATTTGCATAATTGGTCCGATCCCTAAGATGTTTGTAATAAGTACGAAGTAGCTAGTAAATAAAGTTGTAAGGAGACATCCCACATATATATACTTGTATAGTTGTATATTATACTACACTATTACTAATCTATTTAAAGTTTATTCAATGTTTTGGTATGTTTGGTGATTAAAAAGTTAACAGAACATTAAGTTCAAGTTTCTCAATGCATCCATCTGCATGCACCACCCTTAAGGTTTCATTACTTGTTTTATAAGATTTATTTTTTACTTACATCAAAGTATATGCTTCATACTTCCTCGTTCTAGTAATATTGCAACAACGGGAATTTTATACTATTTATTACGCTTGTTTGATTACGTATTATGATTTATTCGTAAAGTAGAATATAGTCATGCGGGGTCTTGTTAGATTCGCCTTGTAAAACTTTTTATAATTTTTACTCATATAATTATAGGTATTTAACATATAAACTATACTTTGGGATGCGTAATTTCATCCTTGTTGCAATATTTGTCGAACAGAAAGTATATAATAAACTAATTAAATAAATAATAAAAAGATAGAAAATGATATGCATAGCCATTACTCCATTAGGGCTACATATAAGCATTAAATACACACTAAAAAATTGTATAAATTTAGAAAATCACAAAAATATATACACTGATTAATTTACGCGTGTTTTTGGTCATGAATTCCTAATCTAAAAAGATTAATATGAAGTATGGAGTATAAACCAATTAACAGATTGATGTATAATGAAAAGTTGATAGGTTATTAATCTTATTAAAATCCAGAAGAAAAGGCTCCTCAACAAATGGTAGTTACGAACTCAATACACCACTACATGGATTCAGCAAGATCAAGAATGTAGATAACATTTTTGCTCTGACAAATAACATTCATATTATTAAATATTACGGAGTAATTACGATTAACGAGAATTAAGGAGCTATACTCCAGGAACCCTTAACTTGAATAATAATTATAGCTCTTTAGATATAAAAACTTACTGTATATATTTCGTGTAAAGTGTCTCAATCTTGTAAATTAAATCATTTTAATTAGATTGTTGTCTTATCATATCAATTCATGGTATTATACATCTAAAACTCCTTCAATTTTCATTATAAAATGTCAAAATACAACTTTCTTTAGATATTGACAATAAAAAATTTATACTTTAATTAAAAGTGTGCATAATCATATAATAAAAATTATGCGACGGATTATAACTTACTTGGTATTAACTTACTAGCTAGTAGCTACTCGTAGTACACTAGTACTTGCAAACAAGCGAGAAAACAATCATCCAGTAATTTAATACGAGTAGTAAAATCATCTTAAAATAATTTAGTCCGTACTATGTCAATGATTTTTAGCTATAAAAAGATTTCTGAACTTTTCTGACTAAAGTCAGTCATTGGATTCCGATTAACGTCATTTCTAAGTCTAACTGACAATCAAACTATGCAATAGATCTGATAAACAAAATTTACAGTATAGTTGAATATTGGTCATTTTATTTTATCCAAGATTAATACTGTAAAATAAATTAATTACTCCGTATCATATGATCGATCAAACTACTACCTGGCGTTTAAGTAATTAACAACATATCTGGACAGAAATATTTGGTTTTATATTTGGACCCACCATTATTTAATTGTTTTTGGCGTTTAATAGTTTTTTGCATTTGCATGGATGACATGCGATGCTGTTACTAGTCTGCTACTACCGACATTTACCCAACTTGACAACTGTGTGAATCTTTGTTTTTCTAGATGCTCAACTATATATACTACTCTTAGTAATAATTCGTATTTCTTCCGTTAGTTGTTGAATACGGATTATAGTTTAACATTTATTTTTCGCGAATATCACATTTTTTTTATGAATATTTTTAAAAAAAAACTAAGAAATTGTTGCAAAATATAATTGGATTAGTGTTAATGTATAATTCAAGTCTCACTTTTTTACCTTTTTTTTTTTTTTTTTTTTTGTAATGATATTAAATTACATAAAAAATATATATATATACTTCATAGTAGTAATCAAACTTATGTATTGACTAGTGACTACTATGTTGATTACATACATACATTATGTTACTCAATCAATAAATTAAATTGTATGCTATATTGATATTGCTAACACAAAGATCGCCAAAAGACAACTTGTTTTATATTCTATCATTTGATTAAAAGGTATAGGTAGGCATAATTTTAGCAAAGGTGATTACTTTAGAAAAATTGAATATATTCTTTATATCATACAATTAAATTAGATGACCAAGTGTTGTGCAGTGCACTCGTAAGGTTGTGTCTAGGTTTTATTTTAGTGTATTGTCATGCACGTACTCATGCTAATTTTGTACCTCATTGTGCTTCATTCACGTTCGAACCCAGCAGCAACAAAAATTGTGGTCCAACACGTGTCGAACAGTGTTTACCTAGCTTGTACCCATGTTGTATACTGTAAGATAGATCGACCAATTTGGTGCCATCTTTAAGATCAATTCGTAAAATGATTCGGACTAGCTTAAAAGTAGTAGCGTATAATAAAATTTACAACATAAAATAAAAATTAATGTATAAGAAAAAAAGACTTTTAAAGAAACAAGGAATTAAGGAACATGAAAATAAAACATTAGCTAGATCTCAAAAGGGGAATAGACAAGTGAAATTGTTTTGACTGATTATTCCCTTTTTTTTACAAGGACTAATTATTCCCTAATCCCTACACTATTGTGAAAACTTGGGCAATGGACATACATATACATGTATCATGTTTATTTCTTCTATCTACTAATTTGTACTCCGCTATCTACATATTCCTTCGTCTCTAAAAAGCTATCATAACCTAAAAAAAGTATTTATAGATAAGATTCAATCTCTAATTTGATTTTTACAGCTATTACTTAGGTCAAATTTACTCCTCAAACACATTAATTGACAATCTTAAATTGACTAAGAGATCGAACAATTTCATGCGGCAACTAATAATGAAAATACAACATGTGTAAACTTAGGCTGTGATTATAAATAGAAATCTAATTATAGCTAATTAGCTATAATCTGGTCATAATATTTTTTTAATATCCCTAGTAAACGGTTCATGGTTTGGTCACAAATATCAAATTTAGTAAAGCATTGCTTACACATACACATACACTGCCCTTGTAATATAGATCTCATAAATTTTGTCATTGCACTTTTTTTTTCTTTTTTTTCTTTTTTTTTTTTTTTTAAACAAAGAGAACTATATAAATAAAAGCAGAATTACAACCTAAGAGAGCTAAACAATACACCTAAGCAAACCCTCATATACATAGGACTTGCTACTAACTATTATAGGAAGAACGAAGAGAATAAAATACTTAAAAAGTCTTGCAGCATACCAATAGCTGCGGAGCCTGGATAACCAAGAGGATCGTACCACATCCACATTGAGGACCAAGAGAAGCCAAATGAACTGAAATAGTCGAGACGGACCAAGAGCGCAGGACATAATCATTAAAGAAACCCAAAACTGGCACTGACACCGAAGAAAACTCATGATGGAAGTTGTTGGAAGATGGAGAAACCGGAAATTGAATGCACCCTGTTGCTGAAGAACGAACCTTTGACACCATTCGTTCCACTCATAGGGGTTGAAAAGCATAGTTGCATCCTAGGAGTTTGGGAACAAGACCAATAGAGTTGTATGCTTTAACGACTCTACAATGAGAAACCGTGCATCCAAATGCAGGTTCTCTTCTTGCAATTCTACCAAGAGAAAATGCGAGAAAATGGAAGATTTTGCTTACCCGAAACACTAAAAATAGCTGGGGAGCCTTCTTCAAGATTTTGATTAACATCAATGACTGACTTTGTCATCACCAAGACTAACAAAGGGATGATAGCAATTGTATGAATGCCCATATCATCCCATAACCAAGCGACAAGAGCAGCATACCAAACTCCTCCCTCAAAACCACTCTCCTCCTGCAAACTCCAAATGTAGGGAAAATCATCCACCTGCGCAAATAATTCCACCCCCTGTAAAACTAAGTGAACTATCAGGGGAATATATCCATACCCCGACAAGGCTACCAAAAGGACCACCAACCCAACCAACAATGGATCGGATTGCTTAACCTTACAACTCTTAAAACCGACCAACAAGGCTCCAAAGACAACGACAACACTCCGATAACTTCCCAAATTAGAACAAATCTATGGGAATCTGACTCATGATCAAACAGAGAAAGAGAATTATTTAAAAACAAAAACCAAATCAACAAAACAAGCAACTTATACAATAACAACATGACTAAACTAAGGCAAACCAAGAACAACAATTTTTTTTTAAAAAAAAAAACAAGCACACAAACTAATTATAACGTGAGGTAACAGGAAATACAATGAGAAGCCGGAAAAATCTCATTAGCAGAATCCAATCCTAACACCAAGAACAATCGTCAAGGGTAACTCAATAAGAACCCCTCACTGAACCTAACCTTGGAAACGCGAGGAAACCCTAGCCTTAACTTCACCTTAACCGTCGAGAAATCAATTAACGGACTTTCTTTCGACGGCGGCGTTAAGAATAGCCTTTGGTTCTTGATTCATTAAGCCAAAAAACACCCAACGATACACCGAATTGATGAAACCACCGAAAAGGACGAAGAAAGAGGCTTTGCAAATTCGTTGTTCACCTCACCAATAGACAAAAAAACGAAAATTAAATGGAAAAAAAAGAGAGTAACGGATGGATGGGACTCGCCAGCGATGGCTAGGCAAAGCCTGCGCCAGTCACCAACAAGCAGAGCCCGAAAGAGGGAAAGCGGTGATAAGATAGAGAGAGAATGAAAGGGGAAGTGGTATTTTGGAAACTTGTTTTTGCCATTGCACAATTTGTTTTACTAGTATTTTTGTGATTTTAAGTTTTTAAGATGATAATTGCCAAACTTCTTAATGAAGAAAATACTATAGATTTGATTATTGGAATAATCCTAATATACAAATTATTGTACACTTTTACAAAGTATCAAAGTACTACACTACACAAAAAGCTTCCTCTCATACAAAAAAAAAAAAAAAAAAAAAAAAAAAAAAGTGAAATGAAATAATCTACACGCGCATGCAAATTAGTTTATAACAGTCCCAAAGCACCACAAATCTCAACCGTCCACGTAAGCTTAAAAAACACACAATCTCCCTCCTCACCTCATCAATGGCCAAAATCACATTTCCCTGTCAGTGAGTAATTCACGCGCCACCTCAGCAAGTAGAAAGTCATTTATTCAAACAACATTTTTCAAAACAATAATAACAAAAAATTAATTAATTAATTTTCCCGACAAAATTGACTATTCAATTTTTGCCATGTCTTTTACCGCCGTAAACTTGCTTACACACTGACATCGGTTTTTGCAAAGGCAGGCATAGCTGCGACTTCGGTGGACACCCCCGCAGACAATTATCCCCCAAACTTCCGGCCACCGGAGATTCTTCTCCGGTACCGGAAAAGAATCCCGCCGGCGGAATCCCCGTCAAATAATTTCCATCAAGAAATAATCTCTTCAAATTACCCTTTTTGCCCAGCTCCAATGGGATTGGTCCACGTAAGCGGTTGTACCGTAACGAAAGTGAGGCTAATACAGGGTATTCAGTCAAATTCACAGGAAAATACCCTTCGATTTTGTTAAACCCCAAATCAACGGCTACTAATGAGTTGTATTTCCCGGGCTTCCAGATCTCGACACGTGTAAAACTGTTGTTCGAGAGGTTGATTTGTTGTAAACCCGGAAGTTGAAAGAACCATGATTGTAAAACTCCGGTGAACAAGTTAACACTGAGTTCGACCGTTTCAAGCTGAGTCAACTCGGAGAAGGAAGATTTTGAGATTGACCCGGAAAGCGAGTTTGATTTAATTGCAAGTTCGATGAGATTAGGGGGTAATTTGGGGAGATTACCGGAGAATTTGTTGAAGCTAAGGTCAAGCCTGGTCAAATGAGAGAGAAAAGGGAGAGTGTTAGGGAGGGGACCAGTGAGGAAATTAGCAGAAAGGTCAAGCTCTTGAAGAGATTTAAGGGATGAGATAGAAGAAGGAAGAGGGCCAGAAAAGGAATTTGATCTAAGAGTGAGCTGTTGGAGGAGAGAGAGGGAGGAGAGAGAAGGTGGGATTGAGCCATGGAATGAGTTTTGACCGAGGTCAAGGATGATGAGTTGGGTGAGTTGCGAGATGAGTGGTGTGAGTGTGCCTGAGTAGCCGACTGAGTCGAGTGTGATTGAGGTGACTCGATTGGATGAGCAGGAGAGTCCGCAAATGAAGTGGGTTGTTATGGGTTTGGAGCATGGGTCGGAGGAGAAGTCCCAGCTTGAGAGGCAGGAGGAGGGAGGGATTGTTGAGGGGGTGATGGAGGATTTTAATGATTTTAACGCGCCGATGTCGGCGGGGGCGGTGGTGGAGAGGGAGAATGGGAGGTCAAGGAATAGAAATAGGAGGGAGAGGAGGTGGTAGAGGTGGCGGTGGGGTTTAAGCATCATGAGGGAGTTTTAGTGGAAGAAATGAAAGAATAAGGTGATGTGGTGTATTAATATATAATGGGGTTCAATTTCACTTTTATAGGAGCATTTCTCTTCTCTTCTTTCAATTCTTGTCGTATCTTCTAACTACTCCGTACCCACTGTATCTATTTGTTTATCTTTAAAAATTCCATGAGTAACAGTAATGTTTTAAAATTTTGAGCACAAACTATCACTAATTTATAAGAAACGAAAAATTATGTGAAATTTGAAAATCGTGAAGAGAAAATTGAGGCAAACAAATAGAAACAAAGAAAGTATGTTGCAATAATGAGACATCACATGTTAATTCATCAAGATATTGATTCATTTATCGACATCAAATTTTCATACTTCCTCTATTTATTTGCATAACTTTTGTAAATGCAGAGTTTTAAGCAATTTTTGGAGTAAAGAAATATAGAGAGAAAAAAATAAAAAGAGCCCATATAATAGGAGAGAGATAAAAAATTATTATTAAAAGAAAAAATAATACATCTAAAGTGATAGAAAAAAATGTTGCATTTAATAAAAATGAAGGAAGTACATCGTTATCTTTGACAATAAACAAAACTTTGAAAAAGGGATTTAAAAAAATATTTATAGAACTAGGTGGAATGCACTAAAATCTAGGCCAATAATGTGTTGTATAGATGGTTAAGTGTAATGAGAACCGGAGGTTGGGGCTTGAGGACAGAGTTAGTTGAATGTAACAACCAAATTATATCCGATTGTTCTTGTGGGTCATGACTCATCATTCATGGCATTATACAAGGTTGGTATTGTGGAGGATGTTCTGGTTTCTGATCATTTCTTTTATGCATGTGTTTAAAGTTTTTATGCTGAATTTTACTAATGGTGGATGATTATTAAACTTGTTAAGATAATTACACTCCGTATTTAGGTATAAAGAGATCTCGCATTGAAATAATGTTGTATTTAGTTTAAGTCAATTTGGGCTTAAAATGATCATTTTAGACTTTAGTCATATCTTCACTTAATTTTAGTAGGCTAAACTTAAGCTACATTACCATTTGAAATTGAAACCAAAATCTAAGTTCTTTGAATTAATCTTATTATTCGTCCATCCATCTAAGTATTGACTAGTAACATGTTTAGTTTTCAACATCATGATCAATAACCGCATTAATAGATCAATTTCATTTATGTAAAGTGTCATGCTATAACAACTAGAGATCGAAGACATCAAAATGAAAATAACTTATCATTCTCTCAACAAATTGAACTTTAATTAATGAAAACTTTGAATATATTGTAAATTACATTTAATTATAGCCCCTTTTTAATAATATATATACTACGTATAAGGAATCATTATTAGCAGCCTATGTTAGTGTATCCTCTTTAGAAGCTACATTTTGTTGTTGTTGTTGTTGAAGTATGTAACATTCATATTATCTTAAGCTAGTTGACAAAAGAATAATCAACTATATATAGTCATTAATTAACAACTCCTAAATAGGGCAATTATCCATATAAACAAAAGCAAAACTCGTAGAACCATGGGAATCATCTCTTTTACAATCATTAATCAATTTGTTAACAGCTGTTGGATGACCTGTTGTTGGAAATGGTGCTATAATTTAATCTTCAAAAACAAGGATTTTCAAACGTAAGTCAAATAAAGTAACAATGTGTACATATTTGTATGTGTTTCCTGGTCCAAGCGATACAAAAGCATATGATTGTCACTAAAATAAATGCATGGTCGTGCACCATGTAATTAATGCATGGTATGTGCACCCGGGTGCAACATGTACACAGAACACCCGATTAAACAAAAAAAAAAAAGGTAGAAAGAACATTAGGTGTTTGAAAAATAACATGTTTGTTTTTAATAAAAAACATGCATTACTAAAGAACATAAAGACATTACAAAAAGAACATGATAAAAATTTTACGGCAATTTTATAAAATGCCACTGAGTACTTAAAAAATTCACCAAATGCCATCGTGTTTTTCAAAATTCACCAAATGCCACTGAGGTTTAGTACAATATCACCAAATTCCATTTCCGTTAGTTGACCGTTAGTATCCATTAGCTAACCGTTAGTTGACCCCACCACTTGCCACATGTCACCTTCTGATTGGTCCCTTTTTAAAAATAAAAATATTTTTTTTTTTAAAAAAAAAAACCAAAAAAAATTAAAAAATTAAAAAAAAAACAGAAAAAAAAAAATCACCTCAACAACACCACCCTTATTACCCCAACCAAAACCATCTACCCAGCCACCATTGCCTCCACCAACCCCGCCAATTGATCTGAAACCACCACCCCCATCACTAGAATTGAAACCACCACCCCACCCCCACCTCCAAAACCCCACTCCCACCTGGAACCCTAACCCCCACCTAAATCGAAACCACCCTAACTCGCCCCTACCTGAACCGAAAACGCCCTCACTCGCCTCCACGTGAACCGAAGACGCCTTCACTTGCCCCAACCTGAACCAAAATTGCCCTTCACTAGAACCCTAACACCCACCCGAGGTGACGTTGGCTGGGTGATTGTGTTGCTCTCGATTATATGGGAGGAGCAATTAGTAGGTACCGGGGTTGTTCAAATGTTGTTGCATTAATTGGAGTGTTGTCGCAGACTCACGGTGGCTGAAGTTGTTGCAAGCTGGGCGATGATAACGACGGGTTAGGTATAATGGTGGCATTTGGTGGCCGATACTAGGAGTGAGGTTGTTGTTGTTGCAAATTCGCTGGGCAAAGGTGGTGACCGCCGAAATAACCCCCCTCCCCTTCTCCTCCTCTTTCCCGTCGCGACCCGCTGAGGACTTCAAACCCCAGATTTCGAAACTCACAAATTCGCCGGCGAAGCCCACCCTTCCACACTGACGAAGCCCCACCCTTCCCCTTCCCTTTTCCAATTTCGACCACCCCAATCCATCTACAGTGATGAAGGGGCGAGAAAGAGGAAAGAGGCGAGGGATTGTGCCACCATGGCTACGGTCGAAGGGGTGGGGTTTTGGGGTGGTGGAGGAAGGGGGGTGGGGTTTCGCGGGTTAGGGGGTCGCGACGGGATAGGGGAGGGGTTGCCGGCGGCCGGCGCGCCTCCTGGTGCTAGCCCCGGTGGCAAGGGGTGGTGGTGGCTAGGGTTATGGGGTGGGCAGGGGGATCGACGGCAGGGAGGAGGTGGTGGCTGGCCACCTCCGAGTTCCTTTTTTTTTTTAAAAAAAAAAAAATATTTTTATTGTTTTTTTTGTTATTTTTTATTATTTTTTAAAATATTTTTTTTTTGAATTTTTGTTTAATTATTTTTAATTTTAAAAACGGACCAATCAGAAGGTGACACGTGGCAAGTGGTGGGGTCAACTAACGGGCACTGACGGTCAACTAACGAAAATGGCATATGGTGATATTGTACTAAACCTCAGTGGCATTTGGTGAATTTTGAAAAACGCGATGGCATTTGATGAATTTTTTAAGTACTCGGTGACATTTCATGAAATTGCCGAAAAATTTATTAAAATTTCATGAAATATTACACATTGCCGGAATTTTTTTTTACCATAGATATCATTTCCTCAAAAATAGTTTTCACTCTCTCCAAAAATTCAACTTTCCATAATAATTTTAGTTTTCTCTCTCTAAAATTATTTTCAACTAAAAATAATTCAATATTTCATTTTCAAATTAAATTTTAAATTTCAAATTTCAAAATTCAAAATAACATATGTTTTTTTTTTTTTTGAAAGGCACAAATAACATATGTTAAAAGAACATAAATTAAAGAACATACGTTAAAGAACATGCGTTAAAGAACTCATTACCTCAAAAGAACATACGAGCCAGTAAAAAAAAAAAAAAAAAAAAAAAAGAACATACGAGCCAAATTTAAAGAACATATTTTGTATTATTTAAACCCAAAAAACATATTTAATCAACATATGTTAAAGAAAATAAGTATATAAGAACATATTAAACATGTATAGGTATGTTCTTTGTCATACACGATATGTTCTTTGTCAAATAACAATATCTTCTTTCCGCCTTCTGGGTGCACCATGCGCATGGTGTACCCGAGCGTACAATACTATTTTCACACTTTAATATGTGCGGCTAAGCGGCTTATATACTTGTATATTACTACTCGGTATGTAGTACTTTTGGGAGTAAGACATTTGCTTAGTTGTGGACTTGCTATGAAGCACTTCCTAGGATCACCTGGAATCGGGAAGAGAGCTCTAACCACTTGATCTATCCCTCACTCTCAGCTATGAAGCAATTTAAGTAATCTAATACTTCTATTAGATTATGCACCGTACCATATGGGCTTAAAAGCTAGTCAGCAATATGAACGAAGTGGCTAATAGAGGACTATTGAATTTTGGTACTCGGGTGAGACGGCTTATTGATCGGATAACTAATAATAATATTACAAGTATAAGGTAATTATGCATGCATAAGTTGGAGTACGATAATTTATTGTGAGATCAAGGTGACTATTCAATAACAGTAAGACATAATCTTTTAAATATCTACTTCCGCTTATTATTTTGATGCTAAGATATACATACGAAATATAATTAATAGGATATAGATTGGTAGTGTAAGGTTTGAGTTTTTATATATCGGCATAGATAAAATAGATGGTACACGCAACAAAGATTACAAATACGGAGTTAATGATCAACATAGTACTGTAACAAAACTCATATGTTGCCTACCAAACTTCTAAGTTCTACTTGTAAATCGTTGCAATCGACTACTCGAGTAGTCGATCGAGTGAGCTAAAGTTAAAGATTGGACTGCATTGCTTGGGCCTACATGCATTGTTTGGGCCTGGACCGTGTAGTTCAACACCCATAACAGCCATAAATTATAAGCGCGCATGTTTCGAAAATTATTCAATGTAGTATTTATATGTCAAATCACTAAAATGTAGAATTTTTTTTTTTTTTTTTTTCGACGGGACTAATATGTATGATTGTAAGTGTATGATTGTAAGTGTTTGTTTGATTAATGTCATATGGAAAAAAAATCATGGAATTTTACACCTTTTTAAATTGTGATTTACTCCGTAGTTCTTATAATCTAATTTATTTAATAGAACATGAGGTATTTTGTGATGAATGAAGCATGAGATTATTTGACATTTGAGTGTTTTGGATCATGTTCTCACTAGGTCCAAACAATTTAGGTTAGGTTATGTTAGGAAATTTAAGTCTTTAAATAATGAAAAAAAAATCTTTGAGTCAATTAGATTTACCATGTCTGAGCTATACAACTTATGTAAGGCCACTTGTGACAAAATTTAATCTCAAATACTAAAAATAGACTAATGGACTAGTAGTCAATTCTTAAGAATATCCTAATTAAATTTTGCATGAAAACCAAATTTTTTTCAACATCAAATATGTTAACATAATTTTCCCTTATTTCATGAAAAATGAATTCAGATAAGGTCAAATAAATTTTGACAAGATAAATACAGAAAAAATAAGTTTTAATAAGGGTTATCCAACTCCAAAGGGCTTCTTTTCCAATTTCCTACTTAGCTTTGTCGTTTTTGCTAGTCTCTTCTCCATTACCTTTGTGTCCACCAAGGGTAGAGCAGCAAAAAAGAGAATTGTTTTGGGGGAGGGGGGTTGATATCCATTAATTTCGTTGCTGAAATGTATAATAGACTGATGGCATTGTAAACATTATTCTTTTTACAGCAAGTGTGATGAAATCTCTACACATTCCTAAAGGAGTTCGCCGCGTTCTTTTCAGAACTTTAAACACAGACAGGTGAAATTGATACCTGTTGTTTCTTTCTGCTGGCATATGTGATCATCTATTAGGGTTTTTTTTTTTTTTTTTTTTTTATATATATATATATATATTTTTTAAAACTAAACTTATTTGATTATTACTGTACTTATTAGGTATTTTTTTTCATAGCCATTTCCCATAGTAAAAGGAACATGAACACAAGAATGAAATATTGGGTGATTATTATAGGGATGGCTGCACCTTCATTGCCTCTTGGGTTTTGTTGTTCTGTACTTCATGCGCATGTAAGAATTGCTAGAGATAACATTACATCAAGTTTCATCCTGCATTATGGCTGTAAATTGGGTTGTCGCGGGCTCCTAATTGTCTTGTGGATGTCATTCTAATGGAGATGCCAACTTTGGCATCCAACTAACCTCCCAAATCTATCATCAATTTTCATTGCAATCACTTCACACATTATTTTTCACAATGTCCTTTCCCTAAGTAGTTACATGGCAATTAAAAGCATCATAACTCGACTTGCCAGGCTGTTGCCTTTTGGCATGTGATGTGGAATCTTAGTTGCTTCTCTGTGTAAGTTGTTATAAGGGCTGTATATGTAGGCTATCACAACTGAAATGAGTTGACATATTTATTGCCCTTGGAAAAATACCAATGCCTATGGACTGATGGAAACCTTAGTGGGAGCCACTTCATTAAGTTTAAATAATCAGCTGGGTTATTGTTGCAAATTTGCTGATCTGACTTATTGCTTTGTATAAGCCACTTCACGCATCTTATAAGGGGTAATATACTGTATTTGTTCTAACTTAAATTTAATAATTTTTGTTGGAGTCATGTCAAAATGGTCCTATTGCCTATTGTGGCCTATCTTCTTGCTTGATGCCACCCAATTGAGATGGGTAAGGAATTTTGGGTTGGTGGTGCTTCAGAGTTTTTATTAGGATTATGAGTAGATGAATAATATTGTCACCTAATATGCTTCATAAAAAATCTGGGTGGTAGCATAGATAATTGTACTCGAAATCAAAAGGACAACTATAGAACTTGTTGATAGGCTGATAGCTTTTAGTCTTGCTGATACATTTAATTGATCGTTAGTCTTGTAGAAAGTGTGAATCACAGATTTTAATCTCAGTCAAATGATAGTTGCTGGGTGAAAATTTCTCCTCATTTATTCACAGTGTTATAAAATGCTTTTATTGTCTTTCTTTCTCTAGTCTAAGCTACTGAAGCTTCTAGTTATGTCTTTGACACTTTCTTCATTTTGTGTCTTCTGCTGATGCTTTGTCCCAAGGTTACTATAAATTATAAAATTTATAATTCTTCTCATTCTAGGCGCCTTATGTTTCAAAAAGAGTTTGATTCTAGCTATGTGGGATTCATGGAGGATGGTGCTCAATGGTTGAAAGATAATACAGACATCAAGCTTGTTGGTAAGTTTTCCTTATACTAATTCCTAATCACTTTATCAGTCAAAGTATCATCCCTGTTAAAATAACATGTCAAGTCATGGCTTTTAGTTGGAAAATAATTTTCCTGACATAGCTATTTGATTATATAGTTTTGGCAAGCAGAATCAAACATATAAAGTCGAATCATCTAAGTTCGTGATACTTTGTTCTAGTTGGCTAGTTGCATATAATATTGGCTAATGAGACCTCAGCGATGGTTGGATATATATTAGATGGTGATAATTGTTGTTTTTTGACCTTTTGAATTTTGGTGCATTGAGATGCTAATAAAAGAACATTGCTGAAAATTAAACTGTGTAGGAAAGTTGTATTCTCTACTTCAGATGGAACTAATAACCATGCTGGCATTGTAGGTATCGACTATTTATCTGCTGCTGCGTTTGATGACTTGGCTCCTTCCCATCTTGTTTTCCTTAAAAGCAGGGTAAGAGCCTACTTCAAATATTCTTAGCTAGTCACACATACTTTAATACTTACATATATTAGAACTTCTTATTATAACTTTGAGGCTGCAACATTGTAATATTGACAAGGATTTAAGGATGAAAGCAGTGTATGGTGCCTTCACTTCATGCCTTTTAAAACATTCGAAAGGAAAGGCAAGATGAGACAATACAAAAGGGATTTGTTATTTTGGATAAACAAAGGAAGTATGAAGATGTAAATACCCAAAAGCGTTGCCACATGCTCTTCAAAACAACCATTGCCTTACTGATAATTCAACTTAACTTTTGATAATTTAATATTGAAACAGTATAGCTGGCATGACTCAAACTTTATTGGGGGTAATAACTTTTTGGCCTAGGATAGATTCTTGCCCACTTATATGGTTTGGTCTTAACAATTGTTCAATCATCTTCCCAACTATAGCATTCTATCTGCTGCAACATGCACTTAAGCTCTCATCTATTGATTCCAATCAAAATTTTTGTATTGTTTATGAGTTGCTTGTCTCTGTGCTGCTTACTTTTGTGTACACTTGCCTTCTCTTTTCAAGTCAATAGTCAGTAGGAATAACACTGATCATACTCATCTTGTCATGCTGCAGGAAATTATTCTAGTCGAAGCTCTGAAGCTGGATAATGTCCCTGCAGGAATGTATAATGTGCATTGCTTGCCTCCACGATTGTCTGTTGCTGGGGGGCACCTATAAGATGCATTCTAATAAAGTGATGCTTCCACTGTAAGTGGATTCCGCCGCTGCATTGGTTTTGTTGGAGGTCCTATTATTGTTTTGATGCCCTCTTCACCTTGTTTATATGCACATGATTTTGTTAAGGTGAATCTCAAACTTGACAGAGCATTTCCAGTGTGTGGAGCTGTGGACTATGGATTAGGGATGGGTTTCTGGAAATGGAATGTGGTAAGGCTGGTAACTGATGGCTGTAAGAGATCGAAGAGATTATATACGTTGTGCCACGTTACGTTACAGTAGACTTGCTATGATGAACAGTCAAGATCTTGTATTGTTTCTACATAAAGCCATCTGCTGGCTAACTTCTGTGGATGCAGATTGGATTAGATTGATCTTGTTTTTAATCTATTCCAAAATAGTGGATGCTTAATTTGAAGTAATAAAAAACATTTTAAATTGATCAGAACAGAACAATCTCTAATAGATATCCTAATTCTACCATTCTTTTTTCCATTGTATTCTTGTATTCTGCATGTACAGTGATCAGGGTGATGGTACCTTGTTTCCATGAATTCCATCTATTGTACCCTCTTCGTCAATAAATAACAATCTCATTTTACAATTTTACCTTTAAACTTTGGTCAATGTTTGATTAAAACTAATCAGAGCAATCTTTAAAAATTTCAGCATGGGTTACTTTTTCTTTTTAATAGTGAATTTTGACTTTTTGCATCATTCATAAGTTTGTTATAAAAAAAGTGTTTTTTATTTGCCCAAAGTTGAGTGCATAAGACTCAAGAATATATTCTTTTACCCACAAAATTTAAACGATTGGATAGAATTTTAAAAATTAATTGATGTTTCATAAGCTTAATAATGATTTATATTGAATAATATATAAGTTATTGACTAAAGTTAGGCTCAACTATGATACCCTTACACTCTTTAGAATATTACATAAAATATACAAGTATAAATGATATGGGTATGGGACAAATTGTATTAGAAAGTAGACCTTAAGAGCTTTCCAACGATATATAATAAGCCTAATTCCGACTTCGCAATCAAAAGTTATGGGTTTTGAAAAACTAGACTTTTTACGGGAGTGGAATCGTTAGAATCAGTGTAGAAAACCGATTCCATCGATTCTATAAGCGATTCTACCGACGATTTAAAACGTTTGGGTGGATTGGGATTGTAAAATCGTACATCGTAAAATCGTACACGATTCTACGATCCGAATCGCGATTTTAATAACAATGTCGTGACCTCAAAGTAACAAGGTGAGTTCCCCACTAACTTCACCAAGTTTTGCTACATATATGTAAGTAAAATGCAAGCGTACGAATATGATTTTAAGTGTTTATTTGATTGATATAAAATTTACACCTTTTGCTATTTACTATGTAGTCCATACTATCCAATTTTCGAAATACATAGTACTTATAATGGGAGGTGTCCATACTATCCAATTTTCGAAAAACATAATACTTATAACGGAAGGTGTTTTGTGATGGAGTATGAGATCATGTGACATCTGAGTGTTTCAAATCATGTTCAATATGGGTCCAAACAATTTAGGATAGGTTAGGTAACTTAAGTTTTTAAATAATACTGAGTACTCTCTAATTTTCAAATTGATTACCAATTAGGCAATTACTCGTAGCTTCTTATTGAAAATTAGTACTCCATAAATCTCAACCTTATTTTAATACCTTATGACTCATATCAGCATTGCGAAATTCCAGTATGAAAAAACTTGAAGAAATAGTGTCTTCAAGCCAATTAGTTTTACCATGTCCTAGCTACACAAATTATAGTCTCATTTGTGACAAAATTTAATCTCAAAAAGTCTTCATTAACGGTCAAAAGAATAGACTAGACTAATGGACTACTAGTCAATTCTTATCAATTCTTACTAATATCTTAATTAATTTTTGCTTAAAAACAATTTTGCATTCAACTTCAATAATAAGTTCAATTGTTTACCTTATTTTCTTTCATTTAACGAAAAATGAATTATGATAAGGTCAAATAAGTTTTGATAAGATAAATTCAAGAAAAATAAGTTTTGATAAAAACTAATAAGGGTTTATTCAACTCCAAATTACAACTACTCATATATTCAGATAAGATTAATAAATTGGCTTCAAAAAGATAAGATTAATAAATTCAGATAAGTCACCGAGTATTGTAATTCAGATAAGATAAATTAAGTCTTTAAATACTTAGTAGTAAAACAGTAATTCTCCCAACTCCGAACAACTTCAACTCCAAACAACTTCAGTCTTTTCCCACCAACTCTCTCGCCATGAATCACCAACTCCATCTCCTCCTCATCTTCACCACCGCAACCCTCTTTCTCTCCGCCACCTTCTCCGCCGCAACAACCTCCGCATACCCCTCTTCGTACGGCGAAGAATCATGCGGATTCTTCGGCGCCGCCGTAACCCCGGAAAGAAGGGAAACTTACGGTAATGGACGAATTATCGACATTACCCACCTTATACAGCCAGATATGCCGGCGTTTGAATCTTCCGATGGTGTTGGTCAGTTCATTTGGCTTGTTAAGAGTATGAAAAATGGTTCCATCGCTAACAATTCCGAGATGAAAATCGCCTCTCATACTGGGACCCACGTTGATGCTCCTAGTCATTTCTATGATGATTATTTGGATGCTGGGTTTAATATTGATTCCCTCGACCTTGATGTTCTTAATGGTATACTTTTGATTTTTAAGTTTCTTTGGTGGGTTGATGATTATTATTATCGAGATGTCGTATGACTATTTATTAATGGTGTTTCTCGTGTTCCCTGTTGATATGGGGATTAAATTAGATGATGGTTATATTTAGTTGCTTATGATTAGTTGATTTTTTGGGTAGTGTTTCAGTTAATGATTATGATGATGCGGAGTATTATTAATTGGTTGTTGATTTTCTTATTTGTACTGTCTACTGTGTTTTGTTGCTGATTACAGGTCCTGCACTATTGGTTGACGTACCAAGAGATAGCAACATAACTGGTACTGTTTTTAAGTTCAAAGTTTTCTTTGTTTGCTATTTACTTCAGTACTTGTTGGTTTGTGATCTTCATTTGTTGTGAAAATGATTAATTTGTTTAAAAGGTTGTTAGTTGTTAGTTCCTCCGTTCCTATAATATTGCAATAAGGATGAAATTACGCATCCACATTTTATATGTCAAATATCTATAATAATTGTGTAAAAGTTGATACTGTGAAAGTTATTTTTATGAGATGAATCTAACAAGACCCCAAGTGACTATATTTTGCTTAACGTATAAATCATATTATATGGTTAAACAAGAGTGATGAATAGTGCAAAAAGTCCATTTTTGCAATATTATTAGAGCGGAGGAAGTACTTGTTAGGCTGTAAGTTGCATTTTCTGGGATGATTATTGTTAAAGATCAGTTAATTTAAGGTGGGAATTCGGATTGTCGAAAGTAAAGTCACTAGGATGAGTATTCCTGCACCCTTGGTTGATTTATCAATACCAAGGGATAGCAATAAGGCATACACAGGTTTTGAGATTGAACTTTGATGTTAGTTGCTCTTTATACTTACAACGAAAAAATCATAGCATTATATCAATTTTTTAAAAGAGATATTAGCTGATAAAGTTATATCCTAATGGATTTGCGTGCATTATATGTAAGTATTATGAAATAGAGGGGTTAAGTAATGATTCTTGTAACTTCTGTTTGTAAGCTGTTTACTGCAGTACCTGTAGAGATGTCAGTCTTTACAATCTTAAGTCATTTTCTGAAAATAATTGCCATTATTCTTCTATTAGAATGATGTGTAATCATAAACTCATTAATTTTTTTTTTAAAGAAGTATTTATTTAGTCTTGGAACTAAAGAGGATGATGTCAAAAATAGTTTAGGCGGGATATTTTTTCATTAGAAGTTGACATGTTTCCCTTAATGATGTTAGCATGGCTTGTTTTATTAATAATTAATAGATTAGTCTTACATCGCTTTTGATCAGTGCTTATTGACTCCGCATAGTTTTACAGCGTCCTGTATCATGTTTGTTTCCTTTGTGAATTCCTGAATGCATGGACTTTCTGTAGCATTTGAAATGATATATTGCATATTCTGTTATTAGGAAGCTAATCAAGCTAGGGCTTTGAAATGGATTAATAGACTGATGGGATTGTGAACATTTTTTGTTACAGCAAGTGTGATGAAATCTCTACACATTCCTAAAGGAGTACGTCGGGTTCTTTTCAGAACATTAAACACAGACAGGTAAAATTGATACCTGCTGTTTCTTTCTGCTGGCATATGTGATCATCTATTAGCTTTTCTCTTTTGAAGTTATTAAATTACTAGGCATTCTTTCCATAGCCATTCCTCATAGTTATAGGAACATGTACACAAGAATGGAATATTGGGTGTTTATTATAGGGATAGCTGAATTTTCATTGCCTTTTGGTGTGCGCAATAAAGAAATGCCAGAGATAACTTATGACCAAATTTCATCCTACATTATGCTTGCAAACTGTATTGCTGTGGGCTGCATAATTGTGTAGGAATTTCCTGGCATTCTGTCATGTGGAGGTCTTTCTATTGGAGATGTCAACTATGGTATCTAAGTATCTAACTAACCTCCCAAATCTTATCAATTTTCATTGCAATCACTTCGCACATTATTTCTTCACAAGACCATTCCCTTGAGTATATTGCAATTATGAAGCATCACAACTCGCCTTGCCAGGTTGTTTTTTTGGCATGTGATGTGGAGACTTGGTTGCTTCTGTGCATAAGTCTGTTTTAAGGACCGTATTATAAGCTATCACAACTGAAATGGGTTGATATATTTATTGCCCTTGGTGAAGCCTATTGACTGACGGAAACCTTGGTGGGAGCCACTTCATTAAGTTTTATGAGCTGGGTTATTGGTGCATATTGTTGCTTTGTATCAGCCACTTCACACACCTCGTAAAGGGTTATATACTGTGTTTTCGCTAACTTTTAGTTCATAAGTTTCGCTGGAGTCATGTCAAAAAGCATTGGCACTATTGTGGCCTATCTTCTTGCTTGATGCACCCAATTGGGATAGGTGAGGGGTTTTGTTTGGTGGTGGTCCAGAGTTTTTATTAGGATTCTGAGTAGATGAAAAATATTGTCACTTAGCTGATTATGTAATCCACCCTCCCCTCTGGCCCCTTCCTTGTCTGGTCAAAAAGCAAAGAAAAAAAAAAAAAATCTTGGGGAAAAGAAGCTCTGAAATCATTGCATGTTTTGGGTTTGTCTTAGTCAAGCTTGTAGTGCCTGGCTCAAGTGTTATTATCATTTCTTTCTGCTTTAAGCATAGTGCTTTAGCAGCTAGACCAGGCAAGTAGGTCTGCTAACTGTCCAACTGGGTATACACTTTTATTACTCTAGCAGACTTATAACTTGGTACCTAATAAGCTTCATAGAAAATATGGGTGTTAGCATAGATTATTGTACTCCGAATTAAAAGGACAGCTATAGAACTTGTTGAAAACTTTTAGTCTTGTTAAATTTAACTGATCGTGAGTCCTGTAGAAATTGTGAATCAAAGATTGTATTTCCAGTCAAGTGATAGTTTTCTGGGTAAAAATTTCTCAT